ACTTGTTAAATGTCGTGGAATATAGTATAATGTTTGTGTTTTCTTTTACTGTGGAAAGTTATTCTTATCTAGAAAAATATCTGAAGGCACTCATATGGGTCACCTCTGCAGAATCGAAATTAATTGTATGCTAGCCATTTTCACATGATTAAGTTCCCACACTCAATGATTGGAAAAACAAGTTAGCAGCGGAGAAAAAGTTTAGAGCAGAGACAGAATTTTAATCAAATAGGAAAATTTCCTTCTTAGTAAGCACAGTTTTACTCTAACGTAATTATTCTGCACTATGTATGTATTACATCATTTTTACTCTATTCTACTCAAAAGCATATGGATGTCTTACATCACGTTATTAAAACTAAAAACAATAAGTAGAACATAATAATAAAACTGATGAAGATGAAATGTGATGAAAATGTAAAAAAAATATTCCCACATGACCAATTTAGGATATCTCAACTAAAACTCAAGATAATAATTTAAGAGATAATAGACTTTGTCTTTGTAAGAGCAATTCATGACAAATTTTTTGTCACTAAAATTTAGTATTATTAGATGTAATTCCAATTATGTGTTGGATCTTTTAGCTTGTTAAGGGGGGGGGGACTCCCCCTCCCTCCCAAAAAAAAAACCTGATACAAAAAGGTATCCAAACAAACTGGGAACCTGAGGTATGAAAACAATGAGAAAGCTGCACTGTAGAACTGTATGTACCCTTTTAAAATTTCTTCAGTGGCCTGAAACTGAATTACATAACCAGAAAGATCTACACAAATCCTCTATCAGGCTGAGTTGCCTTATAGAACAACAGGAGTCAAGAAATTACAGAAGTCTTTCCCAAGTAGGTCCCCTCAGGACATTTTAAGACTGTATGTCTAGTATGTACCCTGTAGCTGAAGACTGATGGAGGGATCTGAAGTACTGAACTGAACTATATCCTCCAGTAAATATCATGAGTAAGCAAACTGCTAAGAGCAAATTATTTCATTGACCATCCTGGAAGTCACCTGCCTTCCAGGCTTGGAGATCCCAAGCCATTTTATGCTTTAATCTATTTCTGGTATGTTTTCTGTAGTTAAAAGAAAGGAACTGAAGCCAAGACAATATAAATTAATTTGTGTGAAAGCTCAAGAAGAGATCTTGGGAAAAAGGAATGTTCTGCACAAATTACTTTCTACCAGATGGAGAAGATAGATATTACAAAGTAATATATACTGAAGACTCTAGGGTGGGGAAGGCCACTTCATACATTTATCTATTTGATCTAGTGGTTAAGGCACCAGGCTAAAAACCAGGAAGAGTGTGAGTTCAAATCCCATTTTAGGCATGAAAGCCAACTTGCTAACTTTGGTCCAGATACTCTCTGTCAGCCTCACAAGGTGTTGTGGACAAAATAGGAGGAAGGATTCTTATAGCTATGTTTGCTGCCTTGAGTTATTTATAAAAATAATAAAGACGGGATTAAAAAGCATAAATCTACATTTGTCTGCAACCAATAGACTGAAGTCTACTAGCCTTGTCTATAAACTGGTTCATTGTTCCATAAGCAGCAAGGGACATCACTGAGAGAGAGAAAAAACACATCTCATTCAAAAATGAATGCTTGCAGTTAGTAGTAGGGGTTGCACAAAGCTCTTCCTATCTGTTTTGCCAGCTCCAAGTGCTAAAATTAAACTTTCACAGTCTAGTAATTTCTGTGTTCCTATTTTAATACCCTTGTCTAGCAAGTTCGACCCCCTCCTCAGTGATATGAGAGGGGGGGCTTTTCAGCTTTATGCATAAAATTTGGTCTTAAATGTGCGCATTGGTCAGAACACGAGTTTCTTTAAATATTACAATTGTATTTTTGAACAGTTGTTAAATGAGGTAACTGCTAAATGAGTAGCAAAGATTGCTATTTTCATGTGTTAGTTTTTCCCCAAATAAAGTATGAACACATCACTGCCTATCCATTAGATGGTATGCTGTGAGGGATTATGATGGTGCAAAAATTTATTAAACGACAGGGATAAATCAGGCATGTTAATGTAATAAACTGTGAAAGGGGCTACAAATGGAACAAATATGATATTTAAGGTTGAATCAAAGGGCATAAGATATAAAAGGGATCCCTTGCTTTGAATGGCTTTAAGCTTACACCCCCCCCCCTTTCAGTGAAATAATAAATTATAGTCTAGTGGCCTTCAACATTTCCAAATGTAACAGTAATGTCTTATCCTAATTAGTCCCATAATGGTCTCCAGGTTTTGCCTTTTTTGCTTTCTCTCTTTTCTCTCTTTCAAAGGTTTGAGAAACATCTGTATGTTGCATGGAGATTTGGGAAATCTTTTTAGATATTGAGTAGGGGGCTACATGCACACGTTTGCATAAATTCATGTCAACTAGAATTTATAGTAATGAGAAAAAAACAGGGAATCTGTACTTGTATGAAAAAAAATGGTTTCTGATATATCTTTTTTATTAAAAAGAAAGTCTAAACAAAAACTTAGTGGATCTCTTCCACAGGGCCACAAGATTATTTACACTATAGCACCACCCACTTGACAAAGCCTTTTAATCCTGAGCAACATTCACTCATTGTGGTATAAAAATATACATACTTCTTGCTGAGATGCAAAACCTCCACATGGGAAGTTACACAGCATCGTTAGATCACACCCACATAAGGGATAGGTATAAGGAAATCTTTTATATCCACTTTGAAGTCCATCAGAACCCATCATGGTACAATGTCTAAGGTGGTACTTAGAATCAGAGAGGCTGAAGCTCAGAGACAGCCACAGCCATGGAAGCTCACACGGAGATGGGATACAAGCCTAATGTATAAAAATCAGTGAATAAAGTACATTTAGAACAATAATGGCATCAGATGTCATCTCTTCCACACCTTAATGTCAGGATCACTGCAGAGTTTGATCCAAAATCCAACCACACCAAATGATCCCATTTTTAAAATAATAGCCAAATTAAACTTAACTTGAATGAATGCTAAGAAAAAATAACATACTGGTAGAATGCAGTTTAGCATGAGGATTAATAAAGTTCTTTCAGGCTATAAGGAGTGGGTAAAAACAGGCTGGGGGGGGAGCAAGAGCTCACTGGAGGATAGATGCATGTGAACAACAGGTGCAGCTCAGCTCTACTCCACATCCCCTCCTCTGTTTGAAATAGCAAATTCCAAAACATTCTATTCATGACCTGAAGAAACACAGGCTGAGAAGGCGCTCTTTACTTTATCCATCCCAGCTTCCTGAGGATATTATTACAACTCCAAATAATACCAACTCCCACTGGACAAAATGTGCCAAGGTCCCAGGTCAGGGAAGGTTCTCCTTTTTACTCTCTTTGTAAAGCAGCATTTTAAAAGAATAGCTCCGCATTCTTTTAAAAAAAATCTATCCACAGACTAGTCAAAATATATAATTATTACTACCATTAAGAACAACAATAAATCTAGCAAAGTCTGAAACTACCACCCTCAGCACAGCAGTGGGAACTGGGTTCTCCAGAAATTGCTGAACTGCACCTTTCAGCATCCTTCACATTGGTCATGCCAGCCACAGCTGCTGGGGCTTCAAGTTCAGAAAACATCTGGAGGACCAGATGTTCTCCACCCCTCTTTAGAAGCAGCATTTCACTCCTGAGCCCCTAACAAATAACAGCATAAGAAATTTAAGGTAACAGTCTGATATAACTCAAATTTAAATGTAAAGCTAACATAACAGGATTTCACATTGATTGTTTTCTCCTGTATATGTCTCCCCCCCCCCTATTATTTCCATCTTTACAAAGGGCTCTTTCCTTTCAGCCTTCTCCTTATGAAAGTGTCACTGGGGAAGCAGAAAAGGTCTTTGAAATGGTCAGGAACAGTGTAAGGTTGAGCGGCCTAAGTAAATCATGACAGAGCAACAGTGGAAATCCACCTCTTCCATTGAACCTTAGACACAAAGGGGATTGCACGATTCAGACTATTAAAAAGACCGGGGGGGGGGGTGGAGATTATAGGAGGCAGGTGAACGTATGAACACAGATTGTTAATAAAGAAAGCCAAAGGTCACGTCATCAGACATTTCTGGGCAAAAGCAAAGAGAGGGGGCGTCAACCATCCTATGGAAAAAGAGTGAAATAAACTGAATACAAAATGCAGACCCCAGAGCAATTAAAGTGCCCACCCCCTGAGTGGGAACCCCCCCCCAACGCACGAATGCAACACCGCACTCTTGGATGTTTTTTTTTCCTTCCTCCAAACCTAATCCATTAAGCAGTGGAAACGTTTTGGTATTCGTTGTAAGGCGATCCGCTTGTGGAAGGTAAGGGATGTGTTTCAAATATCATGGGTCTGCGAACCACTCTCCATAGTAGAAAACTAGGGCGGCCAGCCACTGCAACTCCACATTTCCTTTATACTCGCCCGCCACTGCCAAACAACCGCCACTCCCTGCAAACTAGATTGGGAGAGGAAGAAAAAAAACCAAACCCACTACCATTTTCCAAAGACCATTTTTTGCCGATCATGTAAAATTAGCCACCTTCCGCGTTCTGGGATCCGATTTGTCCCTCTTTTTCTAAGCCAAGGATCTACTGTTTATTCCACGCCTGGCGGGGGATACATTTCCAATGCAGACACCCCGCCTCTCCCCTAGCTACAACCGACCGCGCACCGATTACTCTCCACCAGCTCGCTTCAAATGCCTACGTCGCCCGGGTCTTTCTCAAAAATACCGTCTTTCTCTCTCTCTCTCTCCTCCCCCCCCCACTCCTGCACGATCCCCGAGCTCCAGGGTTGTGCAAATACGAACCTGAGCAAAAGCCTCGCCGCTCTCACAAGATCCTCAAGCGGCTGAAGGGGCTTGTGTTGAGGACTCGGAAAGCCGGAGAGCTGCTCCCCGCCGCCTCTTTTCTCCTCCTCCCTTTCCCGCCCCCGCGCTCCGCTGCAGCAGGCTTGAAAGAAGGAGGCTGCGGTGAGCAGCACGCATGGGATACGTCGGAGAGGAGCTTACCTGCTACGCTGCCTTCCAACTTCTTCTTTAGTCGCGGCTTTTGTGAAGAACGCGCCCCACCGCCGCCCCCCGGTTGCAGGAACCGTTCAGCCGGGCCAGGCCGCCCGCACCGTCAATTGATGGGAAATAAAAAGGAGCCCGGCCGCACCGAGAAAGAGGAGGAGTTGGTGCAAGTGTGTTACAAGTTTGGGTTGCCCCGCAGATATGGCGGCGGTTCCAGAGAAGGAGGAGGAGGCCGAGCGAGCCAATGCAACAGCGGGCGGCCCACAGAAGCTTTTCTGCCCTCCAGCGATCCGCTTCGGGGAGGAAAGCCCAGGGAGAGGGGGTGGTGGTGGTAATGCCTTGAGTAGCGGTGGGGGGCGGAGATTTTAAAAGCAGGGACTGAGGCGAGGAGAATCACAGGGGGAATAAGACTGGGTTTATTTAGGCTGGGATTTTTTTCCCTCCTTTCCCATTCCGTTCATTCAATTCTGACCAGGATCATAATAATAACAATAAACCAACAACCGATCTTCGAGATCATATGACCGAAAGTCGGGGGGGGGGCTTGTACCGGGAAGACCTTAGGAGAGATCCACAGACACACGCATCCATCTATCTTTGGCTCCCCCCCCCCAAAAAAAAGATTGCAACAGCCCTTTGCTTCTAAAACACCAAGGCTTTGATTCACGTGCTATTGTTACTGTCTCGCTGGTGGTTTTTCTGGGAACTGAGTGCAGACAGGCGAAGGTATTGCACAACGTAGGTGTGTTGCAAACAAGGATCAAGGATCACTCCGTTCCTTGTAGGGGCGGGGGAATATCATTTCCTATTTTCTTGCTATTACACAGAACTTAAAAGTTTGTTTTTTAAAAGGCGCCCTTATTTTTTTTAGGACCATTTGTGTGCTAAGGCAAACAATTATAATCGTCGTCGGTTGTTTCTCCTATTATATATTTACACTTTGTCTGGGAGGTGCTCATTTTGAATCACCGTTTGCCCATAATACGGCCATTTTCTCTCCCCCCCCCTCCCCAAAGTTCAATGATTAAAGGCCTTCATTTCCCAGAATCCTGAGAAAATAAATACTAAGAAAGAAGCACTTGCTCCTTAAACTGCCAGCTTCTTGACAATTGGTTGTCTGTTAAGACTTTGCTGGCACAATCATTATTTCAGTAGTCCTGTTAGTTGCTAGTTACACACCTTTCCCACTGAGATGTGGCAGAATCTCGACTTATCCTTGGTAATAATATAAACCAGAATACAGGTACTCATCGACTTACAAACGTTTGAAAGGTACAGCAGCAATGAAAAAAGTGACTTAATGACTGTTTTTCACACTTCAGAACCATTGCAGCATTCTTGTGGACATGTGATCAAAATTCGGATGCTTGCTAACTGATTCATATTTATAAAGGTTGCAGTGTCCTGGGGTGAAATGATCATCTTTTGTGACCTGACAAGGTCAATGTGGGAACCAGATTCACTTAACAACTGTGTTACTAACTTAACTGCAGGTAAAAAACTCACTTAAATGTCTCACTTAGCAATAGAAATGTTGGGCTCAATTGTGGTAGGTTGAGGACCACCTGTAATACACCTGTTGGTTCAGGAAGTCTGTTCCCTCTGAAATCTTCAAGACTTTGCTCTATAGCTGGTACAATGGAGAAAATAAAAAAGCAATCTTTGGTGATCTCCTGACTAGCAATTTTTGTAAAAATTAACAGTTGCCATATTAATTGCAAAGCTTCCTAAAAAATGCGTGATGCAGTCAAATAAAGTTTATTTTTGATAAAAAACATATTTTTTACACAACAGGTAACAAACATCCAAATCTGATCTTCCAGAATACACTGTTGATTTACTAACACAATGTGATGCAACCTTATATTTGTTCAAATGTTTGTTAAGCAGACTTTTCCATGTCTTAATCACCTTTTTCTGGAAAATACTTTGAAAATATGAGAGTTTGCTTTTGAAACTTGTTGGAAGAAATGTCCTTCTGGGTTCAGTTCCAAGTGGGGAAAAATACACCGGAAACATGGAAACTGCTTGGAAAGATGTTTTAATTGTGAACAGGATCACATGGCTTGAGCTCCTGAACAGAAAAGGGAGATCACATGCTTCAAGATGTTGGGTGAAGAAGAACAAAAAGGGGCAAGATGCTAAAAGACCCTGGTTTTATGCCCTCTCTGGCCTTTGATCTTGATCTTGTATTCTGATTAATTGTCAGACTCCCATGGGCCATGCAGGGGCAACTCTGTAGGCTGTGCTTTGAGTCCAAGTTTGGTTGCCTTGCTGGCTGATGTAATTTTCCCAGTGTCTTGTGGTGAGTTTCTGTGGAGGGTTAATCCTACCTTTGTTATGAAGAGTAGACTGGCTCAGTCCTTTTAATGACCCATTGGCAAAGGTGGAGGCTATTAACAGTGAATCTGTTTCCTGTCTAAAACATGTTTCTCCATTTCTTATCCAGGAAAATATAATATTCTGCCTTTTTCATACTTCCTAGGATATTTCATTCTTCTAGGAGAGGGGTAGAGGCTAACTTCATATAATCTGATGCAAAGTTCCACTGAATCTGGCACAGTAGTGCCATGTTAAGGTTGTGAAGAAAATGCAATTGCTACATCCTCACATCATTGCTGTGAATTGGTGAGCTAAATGGTAGAGGACATGTTTTACATTTCCTATTCTGATCTCCTTATGAAAGATTTTTAAACCCAGAAGAACTAATGAGAGTCACATATTTATTTATTTATTTATTAGACTTATATACTGCTTCATAGGGCTTTTAGCCCTCTCTAAGCGGTTTACAGATTTTTTAGCAAATTGAGTCAGCAACTTGCCCCCACAGTCTGGGTCCTCATTTCACCCACCTCGGAAGGATGGAAGGCTGAGTCGACCTTGAGCCGGTGAGATTTGAACCGCTGTACTGCAGATCACAGCAGCGGCCTGCAGTACTGCACCCTAAATGCAGAAAGCTAGGCTGTCCATTAAAGATGATGAAATTTCATC